CCACAATTAAAATGGGTAATTTTTTAGTTTTATATTTTTATATTACAGATATATATATATATATATATAACTAACTGTCATATATATATATATATATATAAACTAACTGTCATTCTTTAATATAATTTTTTAAACTTTGGTGTTAAACAGAATGTTGTTTAGTAAAACTCAGGAAACGGCCATGAATTTTTGGTGATCTGCGATAATTCTCGCAGATGTTGAAAAATCTTTCGTCTTATCAGTATTCTCTTTTTGATGCTTATTTTTTCCTGTAAAAATTGTTATTCTATTAACTTGAAATAAAACTTCAAGATTTTCCCGTCCATTGTTTTCAGTTATTTAAGGATGTCCTTGCAAACCCGTCGTATGCAAATTTATTATAAAGCCGCTAAGTACTTATGCATAAGTGTTAGATTTATTCATCTACATCTTTACATTTATGTATCTGCATGCGTATTATATTCTTAGTGGCCTTATTCGAAAATAGAGCGAACAAAGAAGTTCTCTCTAATCGGAATGCTAATTCCGTTTGAAGAAAATGTGCCGGTTATTCTACAAATTCAAAAAATACGATTTAAAATTAACTCTGATTCCTTTTAGAAATTATAAAATTGAATCTTCATCACAAAAGAAAATTTCATCTCTTTTGAGCATTGCTTCACTCACTTCTGGTAATTTTATGAAGATAGTTTTCTCAGTGTTTCACCAAATCTGAAAATGATATTAAATTACAGATAAATTACTTTCACTTAGCTAGTATTAGAAATTGATTATTATTTTTTATACGTGGTCACAGAATTACAAATTCTTGTCATTTTTGAATTTGCATCTAGATTATAATTTAATATTATTTTGTGAATGCTAAATCCTCAAACCACTGAATGTAGCTTGTGTAAAGTATATTACTATTGTTGAGTATTTCTCGTTTGCTCTGAGTTATGTTATACATTTACTAGTCAAAACTTAACGTTATTGATGTATGTAATGTGGTTATTGATGTATCTTCCAATAAGTATGTAATGTGTATTTCTTGTATAATATAAATATAATTGTAATATGAGAGGTCTTTAAAAAGTGATTTTCAGAATTTTCCATGCTGGCTGGCCTCATTTCTCAAATATTTTGTTTTGTACTTAACTGTTTAAAAAAGTCAATAGAATACTTAACTCAATTTCCCAACTATTCACATATATTTTTGCTTATTCATACAGATTTTCATCTATTAATACACATTTGTGTTTTCATTTCAGGAATCAATTGGTTTCGGGGTTCGAGAAATTAGATTTTTAAAATAAGGAAGTCATAGAATCACGTTGCATCGTTTAATATACTCATACAGAATTAGTCTAAAGGAAATAGACATTTTTAAAATTCTATTTAAACAAGAGTTTTAATAGCACGGTTGAAATACTTACACAACTGAAAAAATTATGTCCTGAAATTTGCATTGCTAAGTTCTACGTGCAAGTTTTTTTTTTTTTTTTTTTTTTTTTTTTTTTTTTTTTGTAAACATGACTCAAGATTCTTATTTCAAGAGCCATAGCACCTGTCATATGCTATATTTAAGATCATCCAAACTCGTAAGAAAGGAAGTCCATAAGAAGTCATGCTGCATCCCTACAAGAAGACACCAAACAGTATTAAATACAGCCATCTTGGCGGCCAACATGCCAGAGTCCTACTCTATTCTGTTAAACTTCCATTTCAAAGCGGAGGCAGATTTTCGTCAGTAATGTGTTTTAAAACGATGCTGAAGAAGGAGTAATACGAATTATTTTAACCGTTAAAGCCCTCAAAATACTTTTCTTACTTGATTAACGGTTATATTGCTCGACTGTAATCAGCATGGAGGTAGGTACTCCTTTTTCCTTTTTTCCTCCATGGTCGTTAAGAGCACTCACGCTATATTGACGTCAGGAGCACAAACGGAAGGAAAAGATCGTAAGCTTGAAATAAAATGGCTAAATGCTTCCCAATAAAAAAGAACATTTTTGGCCTTTGATCGGGATTTTTATCATTAAATTACCTATAGGCTAACAATGAAATTTACATTTATTTGGCTATTATCTGCAAAGCTTCAGCAGCTGACTTTTGTTTATCATTATCCGTATCTGTAAGCGAAATCATTTTTATTTTTTTCCTAGAAAATTTTAACATTCTCAGTAGAATACCTTCTTTATCACTTTTATAAAAGAAAGCCTATGTTTACAGTTAAATGAGATGGCGATTAAAAAATAAAAGTCTGAAGTAGTAATTAAATGTATTACTATGGATTCAACAATACTTTTTCGATTATAGCATAAAAGTATACAGTATGCATTATTATTTCAGAATTCCCTATGCTATATATAATTTCTCAATGCACGCAAATCTAAAATTTGCCCCGTTTCTTAGCTGCAATAAATATTATCCGTTTAATTTTTTCATTAATATTCTGCAAACACTTTATTTATTGTAACTGGTTCCTGTTTAATATGTTTATTTCTTGGATAATGAGAGTACTTGCCGAATTCTTGATGCAGACATATTTTCTAAAGATGAAGTAAAGGAATACAATGAAGACAGTAATACGCCAAAGCAAATGTTGCACATTGTTTTCGAACTTTCTTCGGTGATAGATTAGTCCAACCCTTTTGAGGATGTCGAAACAAAAATTATACATTGTCATAAGAATGTATCCCAGAAACGCCCAGTATTGTTAATGTTGAATTAATTACTTTTTGGTGTTTCCAAACTTAAATTAGATTTTCTTCAAGTTACACAAAACCTGTTTGCCTCTGTTCTCGCCACTGCAGGTGGTCCTACATACATCCTGTAATTATTCATTGAATTTTCTTCCACGAGAATAATGGTTTACTTGTATTCCAGAAATTTAAAAATAGAACTAAAGTGATGAAATTTAAAGCGATGAAGTTCTTTTTTTTTTCCTCTCTCTAAAGTTATGGCCGTTTCTATTTGCAGTGTCTGCAGTTTGGGAGGAACTAAAACTCGTCGATCCGAAAGTGTTGAGAAGTTCGGGATAGCAGAACAGACAAATGGCTGCCTCAGATTTCAACAATCGAGATGTTTTCTGCGAAAATTTGGAAAAATTGGGTAAAGTCACCCTTGTATTGGTTGTCACAATACGATTAGACTGTACAGCGATTAGTAAGAACGCGCTCCGTCCGAAATTATTCTTAAGTTACGTTTGTATGAATAATGATAGATTACAGGATAAACGATAACATGAAAGTACATCGCAGATCTTTTATATTAATCTCAAATAATATGAAATTTCCTCTCTTACCGTCACACAAAACATTGAAAAATAATTTAATGAATGGTTTTAGATCGAAAAGCAAAAAATGCAGATTCATGATTTTTGCAACGATATGTATTACTGAATTTTTAAGATACCGAATGATATAGATTTTTTGCATATTTATTATTAGATAATTTTATTGCAGGGTACACTAAGAATTAGAGGTCCTTAAACTCTTATAAATATTGTTTAATTTAAATTAGAGAAAACATTTGCGAATATTACTTTTCGTTTGGAGTAAACTTGCTTGACCTCTGGTAAAATGGCTGTGCGCATTACAAGGCAGCATACTAAATGCAGTGTGCTAGAGATAAGAAGAAAAGACAGTCGGGCGAACAAAAATCCCATCCAAGAATAGAAGTTTGCTTTGTTAGAAAATGAAACATTTGCAGAGCAACATCATGAACAGCAGTACATTAAATTCCTGTCAGCACTTTGAATGTAAATGGCAAGAGAAATAAATACTTCAATACGCGAATTTTTTAGATTTGCGTGTTGAAGAGCATGATGTTATATTCGGCATCTATTGTGAAAGAAATATCTTTCTTCATCTTGTTGTAACTCAGTAGTTCTGTGGGTTAATTCTATATACTTAACACAAAACAAATCTCCAGTTAAATGTCATCTTTATGGACTGTCTTCTTGATCAGAATTCAGAAACTTTCTGCTTGATCAGTCTCCATCAAACAAAAAAATTCTGACTCGCCCTGTTTGTTCTATTTACGTACTCATGCCATGAATTAGACTCGTCTGATGTTTGAAGCAAAGATTGAGGGCTATGCGTTAGGAATATATTCTCTCAAATCGTCTACATCTCTTTATAAATTGTACCTCCATTTCCTCTCCATCTAATATGGAGACAGATTACACCACAGATTAATAAATAAATTAAAATTTGCCATTAATTCTTGGTGAGATAAATGTAGGATGTTTCATTAACTTGAGAAAGTTTTCACTTATATGTCGGAAATACAATAATTTTCTGCTTATCCTTGATGGTCTCTTACCGTGAGCCCTTTGAACCTGTGATTATACACGGTGAGAAAGAGCCTATGATCCATGAATGCACAATTATTTTATACAATATAATTATGTTGTATACTCAAGAACTTATGGATGATTCTACCTACAGAATAGTATCGGAAACTCCTTGATTTGTATCTTGGCGAGTAGCTCATTGGTAAATTCATTGACTGACCATTTGGCCAATAGACATGAAACTCCATCCCACAAAATGAGTACACCTGTACGATACCATGCATGCGCGTTTGCATTTAACGTTATAAAAACTACAGCGGTTATTAATGTACCACTATTTTACATTTGAAATGACTCTTCTCGAGCATACTTTAAACTGTGACCTTGAAACATCAATTAAATAAATATGTTACTCAGACATATGCTTTCCCAAAATTTCATTCTTTTAAACTGATTTCTTCTTGGTGCTGGTATTTTATTTTGCATCAATGTATGAACATTTATTCACAGCTAATGCTGAAATCAATTTGCTTTCAAAAGCTTTTGAATTTCCTTGAATTTTTATGGGGAATATTTCATGTAAAAATGTTTTTGCATTTCTTTTATTGAAAATCTGATTCAACTAAGGAATTTACTTCGTTTACAATTAGTACACACATATGCAAATGTATTTTACAAGAATTAAGAAATATCATTGCATATTTTTCTAAATATTTATTACAATTTGTAAATCTTTCCATAATAAATTAGAACACAGAAGTATTCATTTTTTTCATAATTGCAAAAACTTAAATAAAAGTGAATAAATAAAAAATAATTAATAAAATAAATCATATTTAGAACTTTTAAATGCATAGGATGAATATATATTATTTTCCTTTAAAACATGCCATATTTATAGATAGAAAACAGAAAGTAATTTGTGAAAAGTTAATTTAACTGATTCACAACACACACAATTATTTCTTTAGATTTAAAGTTATTCTTTCTTTTTTCAATAAAATCTCAATTGCTTAGGATTAAAGCAAAAATAATGGGGGTGGGGTGATCAGAAGGAGAAAAAAAGAAACAAGGCGGAAGAGGGAAAAAAAGTTTTCTTATTTTATATACATTTTCGCTCAGAAATCATAAATTCTTAAATAATGATCACAATACGTTTATGTATGAAATTCGTGTGCATGCCCGAAAAAATCCTTGTAGGAGTTATTTCTTTAAACACTGAACTTAGAAACGTACTTGCAGCTATAAAGTTTTTAACAATAAGGTACAGATTTCTTAAAAAAGTTTCAAAACTATGGGCAGGAAGGCTTTGTTAAGATAAAATCTAACTTTTTTATTTTTTCTAGAATTCCAGTCCTGTAAATATTAGTAGTCTACTAGTAGCCGAGCGGTAGAATCGTTGAACAGTGGAAGCTCATCCCGGGTTTTAATCTCGGCAAACTTATGTGGCAGTGTTCGTGGCATTCTTCGCGAAATATGTATAATGTGAGTGTGAACTAATTTCTCTTAAAAAGAAGGTATCTTTCCGCTTAGACAAATAGCCCTCTCTTGCTTCACCGTAAATGCAGGTAATATTTATTCACTCATGAAATATTACTTCAATTATATAACTAGAAAAAGTTTCATAACAGTAAGTGTAACATTTATAGCGGTACAGCTTAGGACAGGCTACATATTTAGTAACAAACCATTGCTCAACAAAGCAAATAAGATATATATTTTTTTAGTGTTTTAGATATACAATAAATTTATACTTGTTCTTGAATTTGTGTATGAATTTTGTACACAAAAGAATGGATGCCTTGTTTTTTATAACTTAAAGCATAATGAATATTTTACTAACTGGAGTTTTTTGCTGTATGAGAACAAAAAAAGGTTTCACATTTTTAATATTTAAGTTTGTGTATTTGTTACAGGTACTTAAACAGAACCATCCTTCTCTGACATGAAACAATAACCCTTGGGGAGAATATTTTTAATTTAGGATATATATCTAAGATCAGTGTTTAAAGAAATAAAGTCTATGGGACCGTATTTCGAAATCTCAGTCCATTCGAGCGAATGAAATGCATGTTGCATTTGTTCGCTGCTCTGTAAGTAATGGTAAATGAAGTCCACTAGAACCGTTGTAAACGAATATATAAGTTAGATACATTTCCCAGGAGCATAACTAATCAACTTAGCATCCAAACTTCATTGTGATTACGAAGTTTTGGCATTTGTCTGTCCAAGGACAGTTTGTTCGAAGATTTCTTATGAAGCTTTATATTTCATTTTTGTGGCCGAGGAAAAAATTCCATATCTCCCCTGTTACAGGAACCTGAAAAATTCAAAAGGTTAAAATGGAATATAGAAATTTAGAAAATAATTACATTAAAATAAAATAGCATGTATTGTAAGTTTACATTTAATTTCTTGAAGTATTGCAAATACTTTCCTCTAAATGTTGGAAACAACGAGAATAAAATACAAGGAGCGGCAGGGAAACTACCTTATTTTAAAAATGAATAACACAAATAGTGTAAGCGATATCAGTTTAATTTTTTTCCAAGTTATAGAGAGACACTTAAAAGTTTTTTTTACATATATATGGTTTAAAAATAATATCATTAAGCTGGCCTCCTTTCTGGTCAATCCATTCAGATATTCGAGGTTTGAAGTTTCTTTCCACTTTTATCGGCATATCAACGGGTATGTTGTCGATAACAGCTTGGATATTGTTCTTCAGTTGAGACAGGGTCTTTGGACGTTGAGAGATTTCAGATAGCCCTCCAAAAAAGAAATCACACGGAGCTAAATCAGGCGAGCGCTTTGGCCACTGAAGATCAGCCAGTAAGGAGATAAGGCGTCCAGGGAAATGTTCTCCAAAAAACCATGGTCCAATGTTTCCTATTCTGGACAGTGCACGCCACACTGTCACACGTTCTGTATGAAGGGGCTGCTCATGACGTTCTCGGGGATTCGTGCCACTCCAGTATCGCATGGTTTGCTTATTCACGCAACTGGAAAGATGAAAATGAGCCTCATCGCTAAAGAACACAGGGCATCATGAGGCATATTGTCAAGAAAGGCTTCACATGCATTTTTTCGTAAAAAAAAAATCGCGTGGATTAAGTTTTTGCACCACTGCCAATTTATATGGATGAAAATGCAGTACGTTGAAAAGTACGACTCCACGGCGAAAGCGCGCCCCTCTCTCGTCCACTGGATGATCGGTACTAAACCTACATGACATAAAACGTTAACCACCGCTTTTTTCAATGAGCGACACCCCACCCTTCTCGGCATAAATGCCGCTAGATGGCACGCGTTTCAAATAAGTTCCGCTGCCGCACCCTGTATTATCTCAGTAAATTAAGGATTAAAAAGAAATTAGTAGTGAAACGAGTTTCTCTTTATTAGTTTGGATATGTTATTAGAAATTATTTTAAATATATAACTTAAATCACATTTTAGCTTATTGTTGCATGCATACGCATTTGTAATAGATTGAATGCACCAGTCAGATAATAGATCAATAAAATTTAATTTTATCAAAAGAAATATTTCAGAAATCTGGCATTTTCAACAGAATAACCGTACAAGTGTTCTCATACAGTATAATCAGTAGTTACATTTCAGACTACTCAGAGCGTTAAACAGAACGCACTGAAAAAAGCATCTAAAGAGAAAGCTCGGATTTATCTTAGTTCACTCGGAAATACAACTCGCAACAACAATAGCTAAGCAACTGAAAGCAGATGTTCTCTCTTCGGACTTAAATAGTTTTCAACCGGCCGCCGAGATACCGCCGATATACCGATGCACTTTCTGCATCTCGACATTACTAGAAAGCAATATGAGGATAGAATTACGGTTACAGCTAACATAGTCGTCAATTACATTTATTCAATTGCAATACTTATTACGGTGACACTGGGACCGGACAAAAATGTCGCCATATTTGACGTCCTTTGGCGATTTATCACAAAATTATTTGAGATACCCATTTACTCAATGTTAAATGCACTTGCCCCTGTATTCTTACTTTTTCGGCATAGCTTTCTCTTAAAATTTATCTGGCGCTACATCACACAGAAAAATACAATAATTTTACTTATAATTCTACTAAAATTACCTATCTAAGTACACAATTCGAAACATTGCCGCCTTCCCAAGGATTGCACATCCCGGGCAGTACAAGTTCCTGGACAGGAAGCCATACATACAACTAAGGCATCAATTCTTTAAGTAATTCTTTAAGGACGTCCATGATCCGGGATCTTGGAAGTATCAGCTGCCATCGGAAGGCTTTTCATCATCTGATTCGAATTTCCGGTACAAGAAGCCGTTTCGAATATGGATTGAGTCCCAGAGAACCCCGTATTGTTTTGTCATAGGAGTATAGATCGAAACCTTCAGCAAAAGCGCATTTTTTTTTTTTTTTTTTTTTTTTTTTTTTTTGCATCACACTTGTTTGGATGTGAATATAAACTAATAGAAAAATTCTTTCGTCATATAAAAAGTATACAAATAAATGCATTTCCAAGATTTTTTCGCATTTAAACAGAAAGGAAAACTAATGGATATGAAAGGAATAAAAGAAAAGTTTATAAAAAAGTGTTTAAACATGGAATAAATACTTGCTCTGTTGTTAAAGCCTTTGTCTAGGGCTCTAACGATTTCCGTTAACTATCAGATCCCTTCTGCAGTAGAACAAAGGAAAAAAGTAATAATTTATAAATAAAATAATGAAAAATGAAAACAAAGTAATGAAAATATTAGTAATAACCGTAGGTAGAGAAAGCCGGCCATACAGTTAAGTCCGAAAATAGCCCGAATTCAATACGTAAGTGGAGGGTTAATCATGTATGAAATTATAATTATCTTCATAAAAAAATATGAATAAATGACTGTCACGCACTAACTATCTCTTTCTTCGGAACGGTAATGAAACAATTTACAATTGGAAATGAATTAACCTTGGTTCTTTATTAGCAACATAATTAAATCTGCATCCAGTTTGTTATTGCGTGACGAAGAAGTTGAATACTTCTTTTCGAGCATGTACGCAAAAGTAACTATCCGACAGAATGTGAATTTATAATATATTCTGAGCGCTAACTTTTACAAATATTTTCAGTATATTTCTCAAGGTGTCCGCCGATAACATCGCCGCAAAAACATCGCGGACAAAAACGTCGCGGAGAAAACAACGCAAGGAGAAAACGTCGTGCTACAAATTGGTACCCCGAATGTAAATTTAATTGATCCATCCTTTGTTCAGAATAAAATGTTACATTATCCGAAGATTAAATTGCCTATCTGTGATGGTAACGTGAAGAAATGGCTAGGATTTTGGAGTCAATTCCAAAAGATTGATAAAGATCCTACATTAGATAATAATGATAAATTTGCTTATTTGGCACAGGCTATGGAGAAGAATTCTCCCGCAGAGGAAATAGTTAAAAGCTTTCCGCCAACTGGCGATAGTTACAAGAGCGCAATTGAAGCATTGCAAACGCGTTTTGGTAACAAAGAATTACTAACGGAGATTTATATTCGTGATTTGTTAACCCTTGTTATTCAAAAACAAGGTACACACTCTTTTCGGAAACTATACGATGAACTCGAATCTAATCTAAGAGCCTTGGAGATATTGGGAATAAATAGAGGCAAATATTGCGCGATATTATATCCATTGGTAGAATCAGCATTGCCGAATGAAGTCTTAAAAACGTGGGAGAGACTTAGGTTTTCGCGTAAAGGATCAGAAAGTTTAACCGGCGAAAACGCCGAGTTAAGAGAAAGGGAATCTGACCTTGAGCGCCTTTTATGTTTCTTGCGCGGTGAAGTGAGGAAAGAATTTCTTTAGCAGCTAAATCTTTCAATGTTTTCGATCGATTGGCTCACGGTAATAAGAAAGGAAATTCGGGTTTAAAGATAAGAGAACCTCACTTAAAACCTACGGCAGCTGAACTGTTTACTTCTTCTCATGAAGCTAGAAAAGGCTGCATATTTTGTTCCAGTATAAATCATGGTTCTGCGGAATGTTTTCAGGCGCGTAACTTATCGTTGTCGGAAAGAGAAGTTTTGGTCCAAAAGACACGCTCTTGTTATCTGTGTCTGAAATCTGGACATTCTGTCCGACATTATTGTTAAATTAATGAATAGTTTCTATGTTGATAACTGTGTAACAAGTGTCGGAAGTGAAGATGAATTACAGGGCTTCATGAAAGTATCTTCAGATGTTATGGCAGAACGAAAAAATTTGAATTACGGGGTTGGGAATATACCGACTGTAGTTTAGAAACAGAAACTGATGCGAATGTATTAGGTTTGTTATGGGAAAAACAAGGCGATACTCTTCAAATAAATGTTGCTAATTTGCAAAAATCTTTGTTTCGAGAAAGTCACGAAAAGAAGTATTTTGGCAATAGCCTAAATACTTCTAAAGTATTTAGGCTATTGCCAAAATACTTCTTTTCGTGTAATCTAAAGTATTTGATCTAAAGTATTTGATCCCATCGGTATAACATGTCCAGTCCTTATATTACCTAAGATGTTATTACAGCGTACATGGGAAACAAAAGTAAAATGTCACGAAGAAGTTAACACTGAAATTAAAAGTAAATTTTTGAAATGGGTAAAAAACATTTTTCTTTTGAAAAACATTAAAATTACAAGGTGGATACGATATCAGCCAAAACAGTGTTCAATACATGTTTTCTGTGACGCCAGTCAAGCAGCGTATGAGGCAGTAGTTTTCCTTCGTGTAGAAGAACCTGAATCAGTTAAAGTCCAGTTGCTTCAAGCTAGGTCTAGAGTTTCCCTTTGTGGTAAAAAGGAAACGACTATTGTAAGATTGGAATTGTTAGCAGCAGCTATTGCATCTCGTCTTGCTGCAGACGTTCTAAAAGTACATTTTTCTGGACAGATTCAACTACTGTCCTTGCATGGATAAAAAGAGAAGAAATGTACACGATACTGTGTGACTGTGAAGCGATTCTTAATGACCGACCGTTGACAGTAATTCCTTCCGATCCTGAATTTAAAGCTTAAACTCCTGCCGACTTTTTAAAAGAAATTAGAACTAGTAGTTTGCGGGATATAAAATACGGTATTAAATCAAGTAATTTACAAAGAAGATTTCAGTATATTCAAACTGTACGAGAAGCATTTAAAAATAGATTTCGTAAAGAATATTTGGGAATTCGAAAGGTTTCGCATAAAAGAGCTGAAAGGAAAATTACTAGTAAATTAGATGATATTGTTTTGATCGGTAGTAGTGACAAAAGACTTTTTTGGCAACTTGGTCGTGTCATAGAACTACTTCCAGAA